TCTTCAGACAGGGATTGGACTGGACTGTGGGACATAAAGTGATACTCGTGAGGAGTGTGCCTCTTAGCTCAAGTAGATACAAGAGACCAAAGGGGAGGCTTCTGTCCAGAGGTGAGACAGGAAGGCAGAGAGGGTTAGGAGCTGGTTGATTGGACATGGGGAATCAGGGACAGAAAGGAGGAGTGTGCTGTCGCAGAATGGGGTGAGCAATTAGGGTCACATTACAATGTATGTATAAAATTTTGCATCGGAGACTAACTGGAAATGTAAACTTCATTTAAACTACAACAATAAAAAAAAAGAAATTTATTTCATAGCTCCTGTTTTTTTTTTCAGACTTAGAAAAGCCTTCCCTGTTGTGAGAATATTTTAAAATTTCTCCCATTGCTTCCTCTAGTACTTTTACGATTTTATTTTTGTGTTTAAATTTTTGCTTGACGTGGAATTTATTTTGGTGGAGAATGTGAAAAGGATCCAAATCTATGCTTTCCCAGGTAGCCACCAATTTGTCCCAACTTCATTTATTAAATAATCCCTCCACTCCCCACTGATGCACCACGCTACCTTTATCAAATAGTACTAAATCCTCATTAAGTATTTTAACTTAGTTTTCGACTTTCTCTTCAATTACGCTGAAGTCTGTCTGCCCATGCACAATTTCTAAACTATTTTATCTACTGAAGCTTTATAATATGGTTTGATACTTGGTAGGCCTAGTACTTTCTCAGAGCCCTGGTGGCGCAGTGGTTAAGACTTTGGCTGCTAACAAAAAAGGTCAGCAGTTCGAATCCACCAGCCGCTCCTTGGAAACCCTATGCAGCAGTTCTACTCTATCCTATAGGGTTGCTATGAGTTGGAATGGACTCAACAGCAACATGTTTGGTTTTTGGTTTGGGGTTTAGTCTTTTCTCAGATCTCTTGTTTTTTATAAATGTACTTATTCTTGCTTAGTTTTTTTCCCATTTGGACTTCAGAAACAAAACTGTTACTGGTGTTATTGAGATTGCTTTAAACTGACAAATCAACTTAGGGAGAAATGACCATTGTGATGCTAAGACTTCCTATAGAAGAACATGAATTCACTCCGTGTGCTTAATCCTGATTCTGAATGCATCCTGGTAGCCCATCCAGAACTTTTACATTGGCATAGAAATTTAATTATCATCAACATAATAGTTATTTCAACCAACATATGCAGATATGGACAAATGAATGTGTATCAGCTAACATAATACAATAAATGATAACTCTCAATTCAATCATTTGTTTTAAACTAATGGTTTATTTACCACTAGAGCTTTATTTTCTATTACCAATTAGAATAACATGTTAAGATTAAAATTTATGCTCACCATTATAATCATAGAGAAATATACTTATTCACCTACTACATATTATAACATTTATACCACCATTCTAAATGATAGTTTAAAACATAAAACAAATTTTCATTAGCTGGCTTTACCTCCAAGATAAAAATTTTATATATCATGTATATTCTTTTCTCTTCAGTATTACTTAGTATTATTAGTTGCATAATTAAAGCCTGTTCATGATTTACCTCTAATGTTGACAGCAGAACTTCCATTCCTGTAGAACCTTTGGCTGTCATTTCTTTTCTTGTTTTTTCTGAAAAGTAGAAAAAGTTTTATTCTAAAGCATGAAAGCAAAAAAAAGCATACAGTTTTATAATCATGTAACTAATACAGAATCAACAACTTTCCATTGGTCCAGTAAATATTCTAAATTGGTCCCTGGATGTTCCTACCACTGACGTTGCTAATAATGTCCTCTTTTGCATATATGGAGCCCAGATGTCACAGTGGTTAAGAGCTCAGCCGCTAACCAAAAGGTCAGCAGTTCAAATCCATCAACCACTCCTTGGGAACCCTATGGGACAGTTCTACTCTGTCCTATAGGGTCTTTATGAGTCGAAATCGACTCAACGGCAACGGGTTTGGGTTTTTTTGGTTTTGCATATATGAAAGGAGCCCTAGTGGTGCAGCGTTAAAGCGCTCGGCTGCTAACCAAAAATGTCGGCAGTTGGAACCCACCAGCTGCTCCTCGGGAGAAAGATGTGGCAATCTGCTTCCATAAAGATTTACAGCCTTGAAAACCCTATAGGGCAGTTCTACTCTGTCCTATAGGGTCGCTATGAGTCAGAATCGACTCAACAGCAGTGGGTTTGGTTTTGGTTTACGTATATGAATATTTCTCTTAAATATCTAGAAATAAAACTGTAAACATATCAAAGGATCTATCTGTATTTTAACTTTACTAAATATTGCCAAACTGGTCTTCAAGTAGACTGTTATAATTAACATTCCATCAATAGTATGGAAAAGTACTGTCCCCTCATACACTCACCAATATTAGAAATTAAAAGTATACTCTTACCAGTGGAATTTGATAAGTGAATTACAGAATGTAAAACCTTCCTAGTGGTGGTTAATTTGTTTAGAAACGTTTGCCTATTCTTCAGAGCTATTTAGATTTCATAAACTAGATATATATTTAATACAGATTTTCAACTTCTAGTGTTGGAAAGGGAAAAGGCTGGCAAGTCCTTTCTCCATAAAGCAAGACAAAACTGTCGAAAACAACCATTTCAGGGCTCTGAAAATCAACAAAATGAGAAGCATTTATTCATGAAAAACTCCTGAACGTCAGGTAAGAAGAGTGGGAATCTGTGGCTGCTCCCATTCCCCACCCCTCTCCCCCAAGGTGGCTTAGTTTGTAAGGTAGTTTTTACAGGGTGGGGGTAGACCATGAAACCAGCAGCTGAAACTTTCACTGAAAGAGGGAGTTCACTTGATTTGGAGCAGAAGGCGAAAAACCCACACCACACTGCAACATCAGGAAAAGCGGCAATCTCAGAAGTAAGCGAACAGGCAAAAGCCACTGAAGTGGTGGTCCTGATTGGGACATACAGCAGATTAGCCAGAAATTTAACAGGGAAATTCTGGAAAAGAGACAGACACAGAGGGGCTTGATAAGCTCTGCATGTCTATGACTGGCTCTAAGGCTGTCTGCACAAGCAGGGAAGAGCAGAGAGAGGCCAAGCCGACGACACATTTCTGACTGACACAGAGGCTGAGCACATGCGCAATCCCAGCACTGCTGACATTTTGGGCCGTTCTTGTGGGTGGCTGTCCTATGCATTATAGAATGTTTAGCAGCATCCCTGGTCTCTATCCACTAGATACCAGTAGCAACCCCTCCCCAACTTTTGACAACCAAAGAAAGTCTGCAAACATTGCCAAATGACCCCAAGGGAAGGACAAAATCACCCCTGGTTGAAATCCACTGAGCTAGACAAGCCAAAGAAACAGAGAGAGAGAAAGGGCACAAATGACCAAAATCAGGAATGGAAGGGGGACACGTGACTTCCTACCCTACAGAAATTAAAAGGATTGTAAGAGAATATTAACAATAATGGTATGCTAACAAATTGGACAATTTATGTGAAATGGATAATTAAAATAAATGATTCTAAGGAAAAAATAAGGGCAAATTACAAAAAGTACCATGCACACTGCAAATAAGTAGTACAATATTAAAGACAGAAAATGTAATGCATCCAAGGGGCAAATTCTGGGAATTTATAAGTTTCAACTGTGTGAATAAGGTATATTGCAGGGTTTCCTTTTTTAATCATTTAAATATTATTATTTATTAAATATTAATAGTTAATATTTATGAACTATTAATAGTTAACATTTATTAAATATTGATTATTCCATGTTGCAATAATTCTAAAAGTACAAAAGTGTCTGAAGTAAAATTAGGAGTTTACCTTATTCCTCTCCATTCCTATTCCATTGATAGAACTACTGCTAAAAATTATACACATCTTTTCTTTTTTTTTTTTTCAACCTGCTTATACAAACATTATATAAATGGTGCAAGTGGTCTGTAAACAGCTGCTAACCAAAAGACAGGCGGTTTAAACCCACCCAGCAGCTCCAGAGAAGAAAAAGCCTGGCAATCTGCTTATGTAAAGACAACAGCCAAGAAAACCCTATGGAACGGTTCTACTCCGTAACAAACGGGGTTGCCATGAGTCAGGGGCTGACTCAACAGCAGCTAACAACAACATACGAACATTGCACATATAATGGTTTACTCTGTACAAAAATGGGGCCATACATACACAGGTATATGAACCAAAGAAAATGGCTTTTTACTTAATATACTAAATTCAGACCCCAAAGTCAATTCATTCAGTTCCATTTTATTATTTGTAATAGTTGCATATCATGGCTATAAAGTTCCACAGTTAGGCTGTATCAAAATATATTCAATGACTCTCAGTGATGGATATTCAGGTTGTTTCTTGATCTTTGATATTATAAACAATGCTGCAATACACATCCCCAGACATTCTTTCATATACAAATTTGACATATTTCAGACAAATAAATTTCTGAAAATGGAAATGCCTTCAAATAGCATGTGTACTTTTAATTTTAATAAATATTACCATATTATTTCCTCCAAAGTTTATAATAATTATTGCACCAACAATATATGAGGATACCCTACTTTCCATGCCCTCGACTACACGGGATGTTGTCATTCTCTCTAATTTCTGTCAATTTGATAAGTGAAAAATATCTCTGTTGTTTTCATTTGATGACTTTTAAGGAGGTAAAGAACCTTTCTGCATGTTTATTGGACATTTGCATTTCTTCTTCTTTGAATTATAAATTCCTAATCTTTCTCTAAAACTAAACCCATTGCCATCGAGTTAAGAGAACAATAATTGGAGAAAACAAAACACTTCATTGTTAACTTTTAGTTTCTATGTGCAACATCATGATAAATGGAGAAATATCGAAGTTGTCAAGGATTTCATTCTACTTGGATCCACAATCAACGCCAATGGAAGCAGAAGTCAAGAAATCAAAAGATGCATTGCATCGGGCAAATCTGCTGCAAAGACCTCTTTAAAGTGTTAAAAAGCTAAGATGTCACTTTGAGGACTAAGGTGCACCTGACCCAAGCCATAGTATTTACAACTGTCTCATACGCACGTGAAAGCTAGACAATGAATAAGCAACACCAAAGAAGAATTGATGCCTTTGAATTATGGTGCTGGCAAATGCAGTGCCATGGATCACTTTTGTGTGGCCTTTCTAGCCATGGTCTTGTAACTCCCACCCAAGTGACTGGGTGGGACTGTGCAGATATGATAATTCTGGGTCACCAAAGGTATTCGTTAGTTTTGACATCCCACTAGGCTTGAAATGAACCATCCCAGAGGAGGGAAAGAAGAGAACAGCCCACCACCACCAAGGAAGGAGAGACCCACAGGAGATGGTGCAGTGGGCTTCCTGGCCCACAGAGCAAGAAAGCTGAGTTCCTTTGAGACTGAGGGCCAAGGAGAGGCATGCCTTCAAGCATGGCCAGGAACAGACTGTCCTGACGGAAGAATTGTTCCTTAGCCTGGATTGTAAACTATTACTTCCCTAATAAACCTCACAATCATGAGTATGGTCTGTGAGTTCTGTGTAGCCACTGCAATGAATTATCGAACCCAGCAGAGAAGTAGAGAGTGCCATGGGAGGGACGGTTGGTGTCAGAATTGGTAAAAATGGCAGAAAGAGAAGGCTTGTCTGGCCTCCACCTCATAGGAGTCAGTCTTGCACTGTTCATCTTGGTTCTCATTCCCCCTTGCGGGGTTGGAGGAGGTCAGACACTGCCTCCACATCGTTTTTACAGCAAAGAATACTGAATATATTATGGACTGCCAGAAGAGCAAACAAATCTGTCTTGGAAGAAGTACAACCAGAATGCTCCTGTCTTAGTCATCCAGTGCTGCTATAACACAAATACCACAAGTACATGGCTTTAACAAAGAGAAGTTTTTTCTCTCATAGTCCAGTAGGCTACAAGTCCAAATTCAGGCCATCAGCACCACGAGAAGGCTTTCTCTCTCTGTCGGCTCTGAAGAAAGGTCCTTGTGATGCATCAGGCTTCCCTTGGTGTGGGAGCATCTCAGCACAGGAACCTCAGATCCAAAGGATGCACTCTGCTCCTGGCACTGCTTTCTTGGTGGTATGAAGTTCCCATGTATCTCTGCTAGCTTCTCTCTTTTACATCTCAAAAGAGATTGGCTTAAGACACTATCCAATCTTCTATACCTCATCAGCATAATCCATCTTATTAGATCATAGTGATTGAGTTTACGGAAGTTTACATAAGAAAATCACATCTGATTACAAAATGGTACACAATTATACAATACTGGGAATCATGACCCAGCCAAGTTGACAGATATTTTGGGGGGACACAATTCAATCCATGACAGCTCCTTAGAAGCGAGGATGGCGAGGCTTGGTCTTTGGACATGTTATCAGGAGGGACCAGTCTTTGGAAAAGGACATCATGCTTGGTAAAGTAGAGGGTCAGCGAAAAAGAGGAAGACCCTCAATCAGATGGACTGACACAGTGGCTACAAGTATGAGCTCAACCACAGCAATGACTGTGAGGATGGCTCCAGACCAGGCAGTGTTTCGTTCTGTTGTACCTAGGGTCGCTATGAGTTGGAACAGAGTCGAAAGCACCTGACAACAACAACAACAATCTTTCTCTACTAAATGGAGAGCAAATTGGATTATCCTATACATGATGATGGGACAATCTTTCAGTTTTAACTTGTACGGGTAGTTTCCGACTTATGAGTTACTAGGAACCAGGCTTACGATGATGTAGCATTCAAGTTACTACGAACCAAGCTTATGAACATCTTTTTTTTTTTGATACATTTTATCATTAGTAATATATACTACATACAATGTTGCAGCATGTAATTTGCTGATGTTAGCATTCTCATGACAACCTCCAAAGACGAAGATTGGATTTATAAAGATACTGATAATAAAGCAATAATAATGAAACCTTAAAAAAAAATGACGTATTCAACTTAAGTCAGAACCAACTTACAACGGAGTCATCGAAATGGAACCCTGTCATAAATCAGGGACCACCTGTACTGTATTGGTTGGCTAATCCAAGGTATTATAAGCAGAGTCACTGTACTGCACAACACCAGGGGGCACTATTTGGGGGTAGGCCACCAGTGGTGGGTAGAAGTGTCAGGGACAGGGGCAGTCTCCAATAGCAGTGTGGTTGGGGGCATTTCCAGTAAAATGCTAGGGTAGGGGATTCCAGGTTGTGATGAGAGAAGTCTACAGTGATGGGGGCAGTGTAAAAAAGTATAACTCACAGGTTTAGGTAATTTGCATTTTGTGTTTTGGAGAGGAGGAGGAGGTTTTTCATAAGGCAATTCAGTGAATATACCTGGCACGTTAAACTCTACACTGGCACAAATGACACCCTTGTGCATCTAGCTTAGTTTATTCAAAAAAAAAAAAAAACCCCGTTGCCACTGAGTCAATTCCAACTCATAGCGATCCTACAGAACAGAGTAGAACTGCCCCATAGAGTTTCCAAGGAGCGCCTGGTGGATTCGAACTGCCAACCTTCTGAGTAGCAGTGATAGCTCATAACCCCTACGCCACCAAGGTTTCCAGCTTAGTTTATAAGCACCACATAGTTCTAAAAGCTAGAATCCAATGTCATGGTTAATTTTATGTGACAACTTGGCTAGGTTACCATGCCCGGTTATTTGGTCAAATACTAGTCTAGATGTTGCTATGAAGTATTTATATGTGATTAACATTTAAATTGGTTGGCCTTAAGTAAAGCAGATTATCCTCCATAATATGGATGGGACTCAATCAGTTGAAGGCCTTAAATTGAAACAGGAGGTTTCTCAAGGGAGAATGATTCTACTTTCAGATTATAAACAGACATTCTGCCAAAATCCCTCTCTCTCCCCCACCACCTGACCTACCAATTTGGGACACAAGACTGTCAGAATTTCCAGCCTGCCGCCACCTACGGATTTTGGACCTGCCAGCTCCCACAATCATATAAGCCAATTCCTCAAAATAAATCTCTCCTTCTACATACAGACATCTATCTTACTGGTTCTGTTTCTTTACAGAACCCTGACTGAGACAGGGACATAATGACTTTCTGAATTAAAAGGTATAGGTATTTAACATTTTGCTACAAACAAATGCAATTTATTAGAACCTTTCCCGCATTTTAGGGTGTTGAATACTATCCACAAAACATATGAGCTGTATATAAGGAAGTTAGCAAAATAAAATAAAGAGTCTATGAACACAAAAGGTGCCTTGGTGGCGTAGTGGTTAAGCACTAAGCTGCTAACTGAAAGGTCCGTAGTTAGAACCTACCAGCAGCTCTGCAGGACAAAGATGTGGCAGTCTGCTGAAGGAAAGATTACAACCTTGGAAACCCTTTGGGGCAGTTTTACTCTGTCCTATAGAGTTGCTATGAGAGGGATCGACTCCACAGCAACGGGTTTGGTTTGGTTTACAAGCACAAAGAAGAGTTAATAGACACTGAGCTCCTAAAAACAGTAAATGTTTATTAAACGTCTTATTTCAGTGACCTGAACCTCCAGAATAATGAAATTATCACGCAAGTGAAATCATAATCATTTTTTAAGAAAATGCTTTGAAGATCAATTCCTTCCAAAGATACTATGTAGTAGTTTTCTACTTTTTAAGTCAATTTGAAAATGTTCGATTTTTACAGAAAACCATCCATTTTATCAAAATTTTGGACATTCTTAGCATCTACTTTCTAAAAATTTAAAAAGCATTCCAAAAACAAGGAAAAGAGTAAAACTTACCCTGACTTTGAGCCAGATGAAGAATTTTTGATGTAACATATCTGGCAGTATCTGATTCTGTAGATTCAGTATTGATCTTCTCCAGCTGAGCCAGGAGTCCCACAATCCGAGAACTATTGGTAAGGCTAAAAAATTTGTTACTTTACATTAGGACACATTTGACTATCAATTGTAAAGTCAATACTATAAAAATTACTGTTTAAATTTTTTTTAACTCTACCTTCCTAATAACGTTATGCACTTACACAAGGTTAAGTCACATTTATTTACTCTGTTCCACAGCTTTACACTGTTAAAACTGTATTAATTTATGTGAGAAGCACATTTTACTTCAGAAAACCATAAATCATAAATGTGCATTTAACCCTGCCTAGCAGTCTTACACTGCCCTGAAAGTTCGCCTTTCCGCTCTCCAAGACGACTCTTTACAATTTCTCTGGTCTTCTCAGAACTCCAACATCCCCTACCCTTTCCCCATTCCATTCTTAGTTAATGCCCTGCTTCATAACAGTTATAAATCCAATAAGAATACACTCAGCTTCCCATCACCACATCCTTAAACCTATCTGCCTCTTTACCCATAATTATAAAGACATGCATGAGAACAAAAAACATCAAAGTCAGAATAGTAATTACCTCGAGGGATGAGGGAGAAACGTACTATTAGGCAAAAGTACACACTGTGTTTCTAACTTTTTATTTCTTTGGTGATTGGTACACAGGTACTCATTATATCATTCACTGTTGTTTTTGATCTCTGGAAATATTTTGTAATTTTTTAAATAAAAAATTCTAAAGAGACAAAATTAACTTATGCATTTAAATTTTTACACATTTTTTTTTAAATGTTGCAGGAGGAAGAAATGGTTCCTGAACACCATTATCATAAATCAGAATAAGCAAAAACTTTTACATTTTATTATGGAAAATTCCAAACAATAACAAAAGGAGAAAACAAATCATGTAATAAACCATCATGTACTCATCACCCAGCTCCAACAATTTATCAATTCATGGACAATTTTGTTTCACACATTCCCACCTACAAGCACATACACCCCCTGGTTACTTTTGAAGCAAATCTCAGAGAGATCATTTCCTCTGCAAATATTCATCTTTATAATATAAGAACTCTTTAAAAAATATATAACTACATGGAACCCTTACCCACTGCTGATGGGAATATAAAACGGGGCAGCCACTTTGGAAAAGTATTCAGTGGTACCTCAAAAAGTTAAGCATAGAATTACCTATGATAGCAATTCCACTCCTAGGTATACACACAAAACACCTGAAAGTAAGAACTTAAACAAATACTTGTACACCAATGTTCACTGCAGCACTATTCACAAAAGCCATAAGATGGTATCAACCAAAGTTTCCATCAACAGATGAATGGATAAACAAAATGTGGTGTATCTATACAACGGAATATTATTCAGCCATAAAGAGAAATGAAATGCTGATACATGCTACAACATGGATACACCCTGGAACCATTATGCTGAGTGAAATAAGTAAAACATTGACAAATACTACACAATCCCATTTACATGAAATATCTAGAATAGGCAACTGCATGGAGACAAATATATTTCTAGCTATCAGTGGCAGGGAGTAGGGGAGAAGGGGAAGTTACTGCTTAAGGGGTACTGAGTTTGTTTATGGAAATGAAAAATATTTGAAAATAAATAGTGGTAATGGTTGCATGAAGTTCCCCGGTGGTGTAAAAGGTTAAGCGCTCAACTATTAGGCAGAAAGTTGGGCAGTTTGAACCCACTCTGAGGTGCCTCGGAAGACAGGCCTGATAATCTGATTCTGAAAAGTCACAGCCTTGAAAACCCTATGGAGCAATTCTACTCTGCACACATGGAGTTGCTATGAGTTGGCAACTAACTACAACAATAGCTGCACAACATGGGGAATGTAATTAATGTCACTGACTAGACATTTGTCTTAGTTTCTAAGTACTGCTGTAACAAATATCACAAGTGGGTGGCTTTAACGAAGAGAAATTTATTTTCTCACAGTTTAGGAGGCAAGAAGTCCAAATTCAGGGCAACAGTTCTAGGGGAAGGCTTTCGTTGTTTGCTTCAAGAAAAAATCCTTGTCTCTTTCAGCTTCTCTTCCTTGGCTCCTCAGTGATCTCCATGTGTTATCAATCTTTCTCCATTTGTGCCTGATCTGCTCTTCGATGTCTCAAAAAGCAGACTGGCTTAAGACACACCCTACACTGATCTGGCCTCATTAACATAACAAAGAAATCCCTATTCTCAAATGGGGTTACATCCACAGGTAGAAGAGTAACGATTTACAATATATAATTTTGAGGGGACAAAATCCAATCCATAGTAACACTTAAAAATGGTTAAAATATAGTTTGGTTTAACTAGTAAAAAAGGTCTGCCTTGAGCATCATACTCTTTTAACAACTATCTATACAGGATCAAATTGACAACAGCAACTCAAAAGATTAGATAGGAACTTTAGGGTTGTTTAGTTTATATTAATGAGGAAGGAACAATTCAGAAAAAGAGGGTGAGAATGGCTGCACAACTTCAAGAATGTAACCAACGTCACCAAATTGTACATGTAGAAACTGTTAAAAAAGAAAAAAGAAAAAAAAAAAAACCCTATGGAGGCAGTAAGGACCATAGTCTCGGGGAACATCTAGCTCAATTGGCATAACATAGTTTATAAAGAAAATGTTCTACATTCTAGTTGTTGAGTAGCGTCTGGGGTCTTAAAAGCCTGGGAACAGCCATCTAAGATACTCCACTGGTCTCATCCCATCAGGAGGAAGGGAGAATGAAGAAAACTAAAGATACAGGGGAAAGATTAGACCAAAGGACTAACAGACCACAACTACCATGACCTCTACCAGACTGAGTACAGTACAACTAGATGACGCCCGTCTACCACCACTGACTGCTCTGACAGGGATCACAACAGAGGGTCCCAGACGGAGCTGGAGAAAAATGTAGAACAAAACTCTAATTCACAAAAAAGACTAGACTTACTGGCTTGACAGAGACTGGAGAAACCCCAAGAGTATGGCCCCCGGACACCCTTTTAGCTCAGTAACGAAGTCACTCCTGAGGTTCACCCTTCAGCCAAAGATTAGACAGGCCCATAAAACAAAATGAGACTAAACGGCACAGCAGCCCAGGGGTAAGGACTAGAAGGCAGGAAGGGACAGGAATGCTGGTAATAGGAAACCCAAGGTCAAGAAGGGAGAGTGTTGACATGTCATGGGGTTATTAACCAATGTCACAAAACAATATGTATACTAACTATTTAATGAGAAGCTAGTTTGTTCTGTAAACCTTCACCTAAAGTACAATTTAAAAAAAAAAAAAAAAAAACCCCATGGAGCGCAACTCTACTCTGATACACATGGGGTCACCATGAGTCAGAATCAACTGGTTTTTAATATTTCCAAATGTGCTAGACTCTCAACACATTACTCTCTGTGCCAGCTCCATCCCAGGACGCCTGGGAGTCAAGAGTCTCGCTCCTCCCTCAGCCAGTCAACATTCACCCCTCATTCAAACAAAACAGCCCAGAAGTCCATTAACCCGTGAGCTCTGTGAGGTCAAGAACTGAGTCTGCCATACTCAAAACTGTATCTTCAGGCTAAAACAGCAAATTTTTTGCAATATATATTTTACCACAATGAAAACAATGGTTAAAACAGCAAACATTTTGTTATACATAATTTACCACAATAACCTAACATATGTATGTTGCTGTTAGTTGTTGTTAGCTGTCACCAAGTCGACTCTAACTCATGGTGACCTTACATAAAACAGAACGCAACAATGCCTGATTCTGAGTCATCCTCACAATTGACAGCATGTTTTGAGTCCACCAATGCAGCTAGTGTGCCAGTCCACCTCACTGAGGGTCTCCCACATCCTCGTTGGCCCTCTACATTTCACCAAACATGATGTCCTCCTCTAGTGACTGATCTCTCCTGATAACATGTCCAAAACAAGCAAGTCAGAAAATGTTCTGTTATCATCCATAAGGTTTACCAAGGCTAATTTTCAGAAGTACATCACCACGCCTTTCTTCCTAGTCTGTCTTAGTCTGGAATCTCCACTGAAACCTGCCCACCATAGGTGACCCTACTGGTATTCGAAATACTGGTGGCATAGCTTCTATCATCACACAAGCCACTATAGTACGACAATCTGACAAAACGGTAGTACTCTATATATATGTACCTACAATATTACTAGCATACTAAAACCAATCACAATAATTCTTTATTATCAAAATCTAGTCTATGTTTAAATTTATCAAATTCTCTTTGTTATTTTCTTAATAGCTGGTCTGTAGAAACCAAACAAGGTCTACATATTACATCGGTCTTTTAATTTGTAACTTTATCGCCCTCTTTTTTTCCTTTCCTGGCAATTTATCTGTTGTTGAAGAAACTTAGTTTTTTTGTCCTGTAGAGATTCCAACATTCTGGATTTTGCCAATTACATATCCATGGCATCATTAATGTTTCTCTATCCTTAGTATTTTCTGAAAACTGGTAGTTGGATATAAAGGCCTAATCTGACTGAGGCTTGACTTGTTGACAAGAATTCTTTATAGATGATATTGTAATCTTCCATAAAGAGGTAAACAGTGTCTGGTAATAACAGTGCTGTTCTTTTGTTATGTAAGCAGTCACTAATGACTATTGCCTAGATCCATTATTTCATTAGTGACTGAAAAACTGAGATACTCTTATCATTCCAGTCCTTCTTCATTTGTTAACTAGGATAATTCCATAAAGAGAACACTGCCTTATTTGGTTATCGAGGTATAGTCATCAAAGAAAGGCAAATTAAATACTGGATTTTTAGTTTACATATTAACCAGTTTTCAGAAAAATTACTACAATTCCTAGAATCCTGCACCAGGTGACCAATGAAGTATTTTGGTTTTATGTATCAATATGAACTCACAGTTTTAAACACATAGGATGTTTTGTCCAGTGCAGTTATTAATTCATGAAGTGTCCCATCTTTGATCAATGGGAGTCTTTTTCAAGTTGGCTCCTGAAAGGAGTCCTTTTGATATGATCCTACTCTTTAATAGCTTTCCAGCTTTCTGGTAAGACAAAACT